AAGCCACCAACTGACTGTGCAAGATGAATTAACTGTGCAAGATGAACTAACTGCAAGATGAAAAATGAGGAGATAATATGTGGTGTTAAATTGTTAACAAGCATTTAGCAAGCAATAAAACACAAGAAACATTCAGTTATTCACATTTGTGTTGTTGTTCATTTGGTTGATCTGCACACACACATGCACACACACACACACACACAAACACATACACCAACAAAATGCATGTTGTCAGATGAACATTCTGGAAAATGAAATGCAGCCTGACAGATCAATAAATAATGGAAGATGAATGGGACAAAATCACATTTAGAAAAAAACCTGATCATGGTTTTCTTAACTTGAATTTTGATTATTGGCTTCCTTTTTGTCTGATCTGTGTCATATTTTGAAGTTTGATGTGATTTTGTGTTCTACTCTCATTAAGGCTTTAACTGGTCTGGAAGCTGACTGACTTTCAGAAAGTCAGCAGTTTTATTTATGTTCATGCTGCACATCCTTTATGTTTCAGTCATATGGGTAACCTGAATGATGCCTGGCAGAGCAGAGGTGCCCCAAAAGGAGTATGTGAGGTGGCAATGACCACCCTATCAATTTGCTGACCTTCCCACTGGCCCCACTTAAAAAAAAAAGCAATCTGATTTCCCTGAGTCTTAAGCTGTGCTTTGCTGTGGGATTTAGTTGTCCTTATATATATTTAGGATTAAAAAAAAAAACAATAGCACAACTTAAAACGTATATTATCCCTACAATTAACAAAAAGTCTGTTGTGAAACCAAGAAACAACAAAGTGCTGGAAACACCACATTTTAATCAATGTCTCAAGTCAATTTTATTAAACATTAATAGTTCTAAATTTAACAGTGAAGAAGACAGTAAGAAAATGAGTGACTGCTGCTTCCAGATAGAGCTGTTAAAATGTAGGTGTAAAGTATGGTGTTCTTTTTTTCTTAATTTATCTGGAAGCTCTCCTGTGTATGACACCTGACAGAGACCTGACTGAGACATAAATGAGACCTAACTGAGACCGACCTGACAAGCCTGACAGAGACCTGATTGAGACCTGATTGAGACCAAACTCAGACCGAACTCAGCTCTAACTGAGACCTGACCTTTACAGACTTCACAGTATTTTACTTAGAAAAGGAAGACTTTTATCAAACATGTAACATTTATTATTTCCACTATAGTCTTGTAAACTAACAGGGAGCCTATATGTTGTAGCTTAGCATTGTCAAGGTAGATGACTGGTCTTTCTGGCTGCCTGTAGGCCTGTTTGTGTGTGGGAGGAGACATTTGACTCCCTGTCTGGGTTACAGTGCCATGAACTCGGCCTGTTATGACAAAGTGGCCTGAGGCTCTGGAGGTCTGGGAATGTTCAAGGGAGCTGAGGGTCTATCAGCCTTGTGAGATCAAGAGGGACCAATAGTTGTGGGGGGAGAGGTTAGGTGCTGTTTGTGTGTATGTGCTCTGGGTGGGGGGTAGCAAGGTTGGTCTCTGTCTTCAGAGTTAGTGGACCTCATCGGTCAGAAAAACATGTCCTTTGGTTGAACCCTCCCTGCTGCCCCTGCATGACCATCGATTTTTCTTCCTTCACCTTCTCTCCTCTCTTCCTGGCCCTTTTCAGGACCCTGCTGCTATTTGTTTCAGTTTGTTAACGCAGAGCATGATGGTCCTCAGGACAGGACGGAGACCCCTGCACCCGATGGGCCCACAGTTTGAATTCCTGGATAAATTGATTTCTGAAGCTGGTCAGGGTTTCCCTGGTCCTCTGCTGCTCAGATCCGCAGGCAGGAGGCTGAGCCGCGCACTGCATCCAGCGATCGTTTGAAATGTATAAAGGCTTTCAAGTTTTTGTTTTTGAGGTAAATTGTTTTTCAAGCCAAGAGAGTCTTCATTAAGCTCCACTCACTATCATGTTTAATAATTCTGTTTTCACACCACCTCTGCAGCCACTTCTAGCGATAGCATTATTATTGACATATTAGCATTATGTTCAGGTCTCTCTTGTAAATGAGTCCTCGAGGCTCAATGGGAGTTACCTGTCTAAATAAAGGTTGAATGAATGTTCCATCCACAGGCTGGCCAGTTTGAACAGGGCAGACAACACACACACACAAACAGGCACACACACAATGAATGAATGGACCAATAATTTCCATCAGCAGCACAAACATGGAATAATTCATGCTTCATTGTATCAGACTGTTAAATTTGTCTTAAAGCCTCTGCGTCCTGAACATGTGGCACAAAAACTGAACATTCATGTGAATAAAAGAAGAAAGAAGGCACCTCAGATTTAGTCCGCTGAACAATCCACTGCGTGTGGAAGAGTTCAGGGCGCACAGCAGCAAAGGTGACCAAAACCATTTGAACAAACTAAACAACTGTGGGCAATGAATGTGACCCCCTCCCACAAACACACACCAACACACGACTTCTAGTTAAATACTTGGCTTAACTCAAAGGTCATAAAGGCCACATTGTTTGAATTCACCAAACACACAAACGGCAATAAAAGCATAAAACTCCACCATGCACCCAAAACAGACAAGACATGACCCACCCCCCCCCCCCCCCCCCAAAACTCTAAAAACACCCCCCCCCCCCCCCCCAGGCCTCTTACCTTGGTCGCAGCTTGGAGCGGCCTCGGGGCCATGTTCCTGTGCCCAGTGTGGCTCTCTGACTGACTGCGGGCCACGGGACTATTCATAGAGATTTCTTTTTTCTACCGACGAACAAAAAACTTTTTCTTGGTGGTGTAGGAAAAGAATGGCTTTCTGATGGTCGGGATTGGGAGGTACGTTGAAGCTTTGGGTGCATGGGTGTGTAGTAACTACAACATTGAGCTTTTTTTTTCCGTTTGCAAGAAAAAGAATGAAAGTCTTCCAAGACGTCTTCTTCTTCTCCCCCCCATCTGTCTGCTCTTTGCCCCCTCGTCTTCCCTGGCAGAAGGAGTCCTGTGTGTGGCTGCCCAATGACAATAGAAGAAAAAGAAGAAAAAGAGGCGTTTAAAAAGAGCAAGTGATTAATGATTTTTGTCTTGAATAATTCTCACATTTTTCTTAAGGTGATGTCCCATTTGACCGTCTGTCCTGCTCAGGACAAAAAAGCAGTGGACATGGTAGTAAAAGGGAATGGGTGGGGGGTCATCTTTATAACAAAAAAATCTGCTTTCAAGTAAAGCAGCAGAAGGTCCGTCTGATAAAGGAGCTCACAAAAGGCCACAAATATATGTATA